CTCATCCTAAAGAGGAGCCACAATCCACCCGAGCCACTAAGGAGCCGTGGGCCTAAAGGTAAGTCCCTCTACCTGGAGAGGACTGTGTTTGATCCCAAGGGACCGATGCACCTGCAGGCCTGTGTCCACCGCACTGGGGGAGACAGGTCCCAGAGAAGCGCCCAGCCTTGAACATGTCTGTGTTCTCAGTTCCAGGATTACACTGGGGAATCAACCGAGGCCTCAGCGTAAACAAACTTAAGAAAGCAACAAATTGGAAATGAATATGCTTTTAACAAAAAAGAGGGCAGTTCTTTGCAATCGTAGAGAAAATAAAAATAGCAAATCGGAGAGTGGTTACAGTTGAAAAGAAAGGAACAGCCCTGTGAGATATGCAAACAAAAGTGTATAAACAAAGATAGAACTGGAAATTATGTAATAAAAGTATGCTAAGATCTAAAAAAAACAAAAGATATTAGCTTACATGGTTCAGATAAACAACTCACATGACTGAAATAAAACCACACTGCACGTCAGCAGGTTTAGACTATAGCGTTTCATGAAGAACTATGGCTATTCCTTTCTCTTGTTTTATATTAAATGTTTCAGATGTCTGTGCATATTTGTGATTTTTCTATTTTTTCTTTTATTGAAAATAGTCCTCTTACATACATATATTCTAATAATATTCTTCTTCACCCAACTCCTCCCACCAAAATCCATACCCGACCTCTGATTTGAAGACAAACAGACATTTAAAAACTAACAATAAAATAAGATAAAGCGAAACCAAATGAAGTAGGACAGAAGCCAAAGAAAAAGCTCAAGAAACGTGCACAGATGCAGAGACACACGTTTACACATGGAGAAACCACAAAACCAAAACCTGTAAAATATAGAAAAAGGAACCAGAAGCTAAAATAAAAGTCCTGACAAAGCATGAGACAAAGCGCCTCCTGATGTGCTGGCCATCTACTAGGTGCCCAGTGAGACTCTGCCAGAGAAAACTAATTGCTCTGGGCTAGGGCTGTGGGCTTGTGTTCACTTTCTCTTTCAGTGCTGGGACCCAGCTGGCTCAGACCTGCACAGGCCAGCGCATGCTGCCAGTGTCTCTGTGCACTCACGTGTATCAGTCCTGTGGAGTCTGGAAATCACTGTGTCCTTGTGTCCTCCGTCCCCATTGACCCTTAACTATCTTTCAACCTCCTCTTCTGCAGGGGTCCCTGAGCCTAGAGGGAGGGGCCTGATGGAGACATCCCAATTAAGACTGAGTGTTTTAGTGTCTCTCATTGTCTGCACATTGTCCAGCTGCAGGAGGGAGTTTATAGCAAAATGTCACTAGGTGTCATTTTACTGCCATGGTCATTTATCAGAACAGTTGTATTTATCATCAGATGTTTCTCTCCTGACCGCCTGTTCCCAAATACCCACTGGTCACTTCCCAAATAACTGACTCAGAGACTTAATATTACTTATAAATGCTCAACCATTAGCTCAGGCTTATTACTAACTAGCGCTTATATTTTAAGTTGACCCATATGCCTTATTTATGCTCTGCCATGTGGCAGTACTGTTATTAGCATGACATGTTCATCTCCTGCTCTGCCTGCATCTGGCTGGCAACTGGTCAATCAGTGTTTTATTAAACCAATTCGAGTGACAAATCTTTACAGTTTGTTCCACAGCGAGTATGTGGTTTTGCCCTAACTCCTATCTAGTCTTAGGTTCTTGGCTCCTCAAGCAGCCTTGGATATGCTTCTTTCTCATGGAGTGGGCCTTAAATCCAATCAGATATTAGTTGGTTATTCCCACATGCTTTATGTCACTGGTGCTTGCCTTTTTCCTCTGGCAGCATGCAGAGTACCTTCCAGTACCATGAACACTAGTCCATAGGGCTGAAGGCTCTAGGAAGGCACCAACTTGACTTTTCCTTGTTCAAGGAGTTGTGTAGTTGTTATGTTCAGCAAAAGGGCTTTATTATCAGTTTGTAGAGACCAATCAACAGCCTTGGCAATAGCCTGGGTTGTTTGAGGGTTCTCATGGGCCAAAAAAAATCAACTAAAAGTAACTTATTCCCAAAACTAGAGGCTTCATTTGATGGTGAGAGATGCCCGGTTGGGGTTCCATTTTCCCCATTATTTGGATTTTCAATCAGATCACCTTCATATGTGAACAAATTTTGGAAACTTTCTAGTGTATTAGGTTTCCATAGTATCCCTCAAATGGCCCTAGTTTTAGGTGTCCCTCCCTGTATTCCTTCCATCTCCATCTCTTTCTTCCCTCCTCATTTACTCCTCATTCTAGTCCCCCACCTTGTCCATCCATAATGATGTATTTATTTTATGATCTTTCCTTTCCTCGGGAGATCCATCCCTGCCCTCTAGCCCTTTACTCTGTACCTAACTTCCATGGTTATATGAATTGTAGCCTGCTTATTGAAGACTTAACAGCTAACATTCACTTATAAGTGAATACACATTATTATCTTTTCGGATCTGGGCTACCTCACTCAGGATGATTTTTTTTCATCTCCATCCATTTATCTGGTTTTATGTTGAGGTCTTTGATCTATTTGGAGTCATGTTTTGTTCAGTGTAATAAGTCTCTATAGAGCAATGATTCTCAAGCTTCCTAGTGATATGACCTCATACTGTGATGACTCCTCCCCTTAACTATAAAATTATTTTCGTTGCTACGTCACAATTGTAATTTTGCTACTGTTATGAATCATAATATAAACATTTGTGTTGTCTCATTGTCTTAGTGACACCAGTGAAAGGTTGTTCATCTCTGGGGGTTGTGACCCACAAGTTGAGATCAACTGCTGTGGTTCTCACAATCTTACCTGTGCTGTGACCCTTTAATACCTCATGCTGTGGTGACCCCTCCCCTCGACCATAAAATTATTTTCATTGCTACTTCACAATTGCAATTTTGCTGTTTAAATCATAATGTAAATATCTGTGTTTTCTGATTGTTTTAAATGACACCTGTAAGAGAGTTGTTCAAACCTGGGGACTGTGATCCACAAGTTGAGAACCATTGCTTTTGAGTAACGGACATTGGGATAGGATGCTTTCTTAAAAAACTGTTGGGCACAAATATTAAAAGAATCAATTTCTCTAGTCTTTATCCCTATGTATATATATATATATGTATATATATATATATATACAGATATTCAAGCTATTTTTACATGTATATTCATACATGTATGAATCTATACACATATATGTACACTGATCTGTGTATATTTTCTTGCTTCAGAATTACCCTTTTCCCAAAGAATATTCCAGATAAGGCATCTCATTTCTGCTAGTTATGAGACTTTTTTTTTTATTTTCTCAGTGAGGCTAGAGATGAAAAGGGCATATAATTGTCAAAAAAGTGTCAAAATACTTCATGGCATTTAGCTTCTTGAAGACTAGGGAATTAATACAGCTGAGAAGCAATGTTTTGTTTAAAACAGATGAGCAGAGTTCTTAGCAGTTTCATGTACCATCTCTACTGGTAACAAAGTTCACACACGCACAGACACGCACACATAGACATGCACGCAGGCACGTACACACCGACCACTCAGTTTTCAGAGCGATTATATGCTGGCTAGTTTTATGTCACCATGACACGAGGTAGAGTCATCTGAAAGGAGGGACCTCGATTGAGAAAACGACCCCATAAAATCTGGTTGTAGTGAGTTTTCTTGGTTAGTGATTGATGGGAAGGCCCAGTCCATTATAGGTGGTGGTCCTGGGTCTGGGCATCTAGTCCTGGGATCTATAAGAAAGGAGGCTGAGCAAGCCATGTTGAGCAATTCAGGAAGCAGGCAGCACTCCTCCATGGCCTCTGAATCAGCTCCTGCCTTCAAGTTCCTGCCCTGTTTGAGTTCCTATACTGGCTTCCTTCAGTGATAGACTACAATGTGGAAGTTTAAGCCAAATAAACCCTTTCCTTCCCAACTTGGTTATGGTGTTTCATCACAGCAATAGAAACACTAGCTAGGGTGGGTTATTAATTTTCTGTATCTCATCCACTTTTCCAGTAATTCATGTGACAATATTAAATGAAAAACAGTCCAATGATGTTAACGCAGGATGTTCAGTGTGTCTGAAACCGAAGGAAGCTGGATGTCCACCCCTCTGTCCCAGAAGTTCCAATCCAGCATGTGCATGCCCCTCTCCTGAACCAGTGAGAGAAGGTAGCATATAGAAGTGCACCTTGTATGATTCGAGAAGGACCTTGATCTTAAAACAGGGCTATACCATTTCACTAAAACACAATGCTTTCTCTACCTCCACCCATATCAGCAAAGCTGACAGTTCCACACTATGACTGAGAGTATTCAAAACATAAACATTAGAAAACATACTGGTATGTGCACCGACAGTAAGTCTTTAGCATCCTTCTGGCCTGATTGATCCCTGACCCTGGATCTGTAGAGGAGGTCAGATGATAAACACAGACCACACACATCATGCTTGAAATACTTTCCTTGCTGATTTCCTCTCCTCCCAACCCCAGAAATCTAGGCACTTGGACTCAAATAAAAATAAGGGAGTAATAATGAATTAATAAAATGAGGGCTAGTGCCATGGCTCAGCACTTGCTGCCAAGACTACAGATTGGAGTTCGATCCCCAGGACCCTCTTGGTGGAAACTCATTTAAGCTGGCCTCTGACTTCCACACAAAAATGCCTAGCATGCACAACGTCAATCATCCAAACAACCAAACAAAAAGTAAACATTTTTAAAAGGATCCGTGAGATCAGGCAGATGAATGGCTGTGTGGCCTCAGCCCCGCTTTAAACACTGTGACATGCACAAAGTCCCGCCATTGTTCTAGATCTCTGGTTCTGTATAGAGTAAAAATCAAAGGCAACAAAACACAGGTCAGCAAGGATGCAAAAGAAAACGACTGTCTCCGAAAGAGTTTGGGTGTTACATGACAAATCTCAACAGCCAAGGAAGCATGGGAAAGCAGGGCCAGTTGACAAGAAGCACGGCACAGCCCACACACTTACCAATAATAACCGTGTTGTCATCAGCAATGAGCAGCTTGCTGTGGACATAGATGAGCTCGGTGACCAGGTTCCCCTCCAGCTCTGCGTGTGTTCTCAGGCCACAAAACGATATGTAGTTTATCCACTGATTACCAACTGCAAATCAGAAAGAAAATGCGAAAATCAACATGACCATGTCCAACAAAGGCACACCAACGTTGACTAAATAATCTACCACTTTAAGCAGGTTATTTATATACAATCTATAATATCTTTGGCAAAATTTAACCAGGACATTTTTATGATGGAAGGAACTAATATTGATAACTGAATGAGTGTCCTAGTCTTATGAGGTTGCTGTGACACAACACCCAGAAGCCACTGTGGGGAGGAGAGGGTTTATGTGACTTATCCTTCCACGTCACAGTCCATCCCTAAGGGAGGTCGGGGCAGGAACTCAAGGCGGGCGCTTAAAGCAGCGACCAGAGGAACGATGCTTGCTAGCTCGCTCCCTGGCTTGTTTCCTGCTCAGGCTTAGCTCTTTTCCTATCTATCCCAGAAGCACCACCCAGGGTTGGTGCAGCCTACAGTGGACTGGGCTCACTACATCAATTACAGTAAAGGCCCCTCATAGATCCGTCCACAGGTCAACATGAGGTGAGCAACTCCTCAGTTAAGATTCCCTTCTTAGATGACTCTAGGCTATGTCACCAAAGCTGACTAGGACAGTAAGTACCATTAAAGAAAATAATACTTCAGTGTCTTCTGTCTTTGGCTGAGGCAATCTAGAAATGGACTCCGATCTGAGCATGTCACAATTTGGTGAGTTAAAGAGGAGTGGAGGCAGAAACGACAAAACAAGATCCCAGTGTCACAGCTGCACTGTCTCAAATGACACCTGTTGGCAGTTTAAGCGGGAGCACAAGGGCCTGTCAAGATCACTGAATGTAGCATAGTCAGCACTAGATGGCAGTTAAGTTGGCCGAGGGCATAGAAATGTTGCCAGTTACATAACCCTCCCCCAGGATGGGGAGGAGGGTTGGGAGCTGTTGGCTTCATGGCCTGGCTACTCACAGCAACTGTAGCTACCTGGACAGGAAGGGGACCTACCAGCATTCCGTTATAGGTGGAGGAAGGTCTCATGAGAGCTCTGTCTTCCCTGAAAAGCTACTGGCACTTACTGGTTGCTGGAGAAAGAGAAGCCATTTTCATCAGTGGTGTAGCCACTGCATAGTTGCCTATGTTCCTGCCAACAATGCTAATTAATTTCAATGAGTCACTAAAAATCTAATATGAAAGCAGGAATGGGATTGGTTGGGGAGGAGGAGATGAGCGAGGGTAATAAAAGGTGAAAACACATTATATACATGTATGCAATTGTCAAAACTCTCCCGTCCAGATCGCTAACATTAGGAAAAGGAAATGTGCTTTATTATGTTCGACACGGGGAGATCCTTGTGTGGAGCGAAAGGTACCAGGCTTGTTCTGTAAAATAGCTGCTCGCTCGTCTTGCCATGAGACAGGGACTGCATCCCGCATTCCACACCAAACTATAGTTAATACCATGGTCTGAGTGTTCACCACAAGGTTTCATGTCCCCTCCCTCACAGTTAGACTCAGAACAAAGGGAGAGGGGCCAAGCTGTCATGCTTTCAAACAGAAGGAAGATTGGAGACTGTGTCGTAGGAGGTTAGGAAATATAGTAACAGACCCAGCAGTAACTGATTTTTCTTTTGCTGAGCTTCTCATTTGTTACTTATTTTGTCTACTTTGCCATGGATGCTCTATTAAGTGCAGGTATCTTGGGAGGAAATCCATTCCTAAGTGCACAGGGAGTTCTTCCCTGAGAGATCACCTTCTCAGATGTACACAATGATCTCAGAGCCCTGGCTGCCAAAAGGGGCTGTGTCGGTATATTGGTGCTTCACATGTAAAAGACCTTTCTGCAAGGTCTAGAATCATTTAGCACTCACAAATTCCACACCCCACATGTTAATGTTACATTAGAACAATCTTTATGTCCCAGGTGTGTTTAACCTGCAGCCAGCAGGTTACATGAGCCCTAGGACAGCTATGAACAAGGCCCAACACAAAAATCAAAACCATACATAAAAACACTAGGGTTCTTTTTTTTTTTTTTGTAGTGAGGGACAATTTTTGTAACTTAATATCATATTTCTTGAGCATGAATTTTGCAGATGACTGGACCCAGCCTGGACCATTATTTCCTTTAGAAAACCTCCTCTGGCCAGGCAATGGTGGCACATGCCTGTAATTCCAGCACTCAGGAAGCAGAGGCAGGAGGATCTCTAAGTTCCAGGAAAGCCAGAGCTACAAGAAAAAAATCCTGTTTGGAATAAAAACAAAAAACAAACAAAAATCTCCTCTGATTCAAAAGAAGGGATTGTGTCCTCTTTGAAGTCCTTTATGTCCATAAAATTCTGGGAAAATATTTCTAAAATTCCTAATTTTTATAGTCTACATTTCTCTGTCACCATCACTGCGCTGCACGTCACCATCACTGCGCTGCACGTCACCATCACTGCGCTGCACGTCACCATCACTGTGTTGCACGACACCATCACTGTGTTGCACGTCACCATCACTGCACTGCATGTCACCATCACTGTGCTATGTGTCACCATCACTGTGTTGTGCATCATAAGTGCTGTGCTGCACAGCTTGACGTCATCATCATTACTCAAGGCCATGGTGCCTGAACTTTGGATTTCTCTCTATCATCTGGGCTTGTGACCCAGAGTATAACATTTTAAGATATAAAGCAGATTTTCAGTGGAACCATAGAGAAAAGCCTTTGCCAAAGCACATTTTTGTTTGTTTGTTTGTTTGTTTTTCGAGACAGGGTTTCTCTGTGGCTTTGGAGCCTGTCCTGGAACTAGCTCTGTAGATTTTTAAGCAGGGATTTTCCTATTAAAAGCTCCCAAGCTATGTTAAACAGAACTACTCAGTGTACACAGGTGTACACCTATTTCAGAGGACTTGCTAGAGGCATGTGGTTCCGTGGAGGATGGTTTGTGGAGGGGTTTAAGGTCCTGGGGAAGTTAAAAGGAGGACAGGAAGGGGAGAGAAGTGGAGTGCAATGGAGAAGGAAGAGACTGGAAAAGAGGGGAAGAGGTAAAATGCCAGCATATAGAAACACAGGATGAAAGGACAGATAGAGCCCAGAAATTGTCCTATCATGGTTCAGAGTGATGTCACCGTGGATAAAGGCTATTGCCTCACAAACCTGCATTCAATCCCTGGGACGCATGGAAAGGTGGAAGGAGAACTGACTCCTGAACGCGGTCCTCTGACTTCTCCATGTGAGGTGGGGCACGTGTCCTCCACCAGTAATAATGCAATGAATACGTTCTACTAAGATTCCGAAGTCTTTCAACATCGTTTTTAGCAGATGGGTTATATTGACTACTTGCCAGCGCATGGATTCTAAAATGTGCAATGCTGTCTGAGGCTCAGGTGTGCACCATTCCACAGCAGGCCTAGGGCCTATCGTCCAAGCGCTTGTCAATCAGGGATGCCCAACCCACAGTGCACACCACCTTCTCCTCTGCCTCACTCCAACAGTGCAGCTCAGAAAGTGGAAAATGCCCTGAAGAGAAAGCTCACAGTACAGATTCCAAAGGAAGAGGGGGAGGAAGAAGAAGGAAGATGGAAGGAGGAGAAGGGAGAAGGCAGGGAAAAGGAAGAAGGAGGAGAAGGAGAAGAAGAGCAAAAAGGAAAGAAAAAAGAAAGGGAGACAGGGTATGGGGGTGTGGGGTGAGGGGGAGGAGAGAGGAACAAGGCAAGAGAAAAAGTTCTTGCTAGGTGGTGTGGGCCTCCTACAGCTAGAATAATGGATAATCTCAATGTGACCTAGCAGATACAACCAGTGCGCACCTGTGACAGCAATGAACCCTGCCTCACACCTCTTGTGCTCCCACGAAGAAAGACAAGCAAAAACAAACTGGTGTTTTATTCTGTGAGGAAAACTGACTTCACAGGAAACAAGTGCTAATGTGATGTCCCCAAGCTACAGTGGGAACAACACAGAAAACAAAACACCATCGTGACAAAAGGGAAAGACAAGTCCTGGGGGTTCCTAGCTGAAGTGTCTTGGGATATGAGGCTCAGCAGACAACCCTCCAGGACCGTGGTTGACACTGCTGTCTGCACACCAGAAGGAAGTGGGCTCCACAAGCCCGCCACACGTTTACAAGGCAATTTTGGTAAAACAACAATGAAAACAAAAACAGAAAACCACCAAGAAGTATCACAGGCTTATTACTTAAAAGTGGAGTTTGGGGTATCTGTGTATGTATAATCCTGCTCAAATACCCCTGGTCACTAGTTTATTTGGCCCTAAAAAATTATAATTCAGAAAAATTATGAAAATGATAAGGAAAGGCTTTAAACTGGATCCTAGGTTTCCAGAATATAGTAGGTTCAGAGACTGGCTGGAACTGGAATCATTTTCAGGGAATTTCACTTCCTCACAGCCGGTTTTGTTATTCAGAATAACTGAGCTCTTGCCTCTGGGCACTGCAGTCCTCCACCCAATCAGAGAGCAGGCCACTGGGGCTCTAAAACCACCAGCACTAACAAGACAGAACCCAACACCAGGACCCTTTGCTTCAGAAAAGGTCACTCTGTAATTAATCTTTCCTCGCCCTGTTCAGAAAATGAACATTCCCCCACAGAGAGACCTTATTTTGACTTGTTCCCAGGGTGCTTAGAAATGTTCCCCTAAGCGGGCTTGCCATTGAAATTGTTTCTTGCGTTAAAATCCAATCTATTTCCTCTGAATGGCAAAGGCAAAAAAAAAAAAAAAAAAAAAGGGTCTGAGCCAAAGAAAGTGCTTTATATTAAGCTCAGGACGTTTTCACAGCTGAGAAAGGAAAGAATGAGCTTGCTTTGATTCCTGACTTGCCTATAACCTCACGTCACCTTCCAAACCCCCGTCAGACAGTGCAGGATGACTTTCTTATTCTTTTATCAATATGTCTTTTATAGACTGATTCGTCAACCCATAGAGATCAAGGTGACACTCTGGGACATCTGCTCTCCCCTGGGTACAATTAGGTGACTCCTGTGACTAGGTCTGAAGAGATTGTCAGCGAAAACTTCCTAAATACACAGCACTGATAGACATGTGTGTG